AGGTGGGGTCCGGGTTTGGGAGGTGCGGTTTGGCAACATTTGGCATTGCGGAGGCGGAATGGCAGGGGCAAGCGGCGCGCGCAAGTACAGCGAGGGCGTCAGGGTGGGGACAGGGATGGGAAAGGGGAAAGCACATTAGGGGCGCTCTGAGTGCTGGCGGGGCAAAGGTGGCACTGGCGCCGACGCGTGGTGAGCGGAGCTCCCCGGGGCGCCGGGGTGGCCGGCTGGCGCAACGTCGCCTAGGCGCGCGCTCCCTGCGCCGCTGCCGGCGACAACGCCGCCGCCGACCCGACTCCTTCCGCAGCGTCCCGCGCGTGTTCATCGGCGGCAAGTTCATCGGCGGCGGCGACGACACCGCCGCGAAGGCCGCCAACGGGGAGCTGCAGGTGCTGCTCAAGGACGTTGGGGTGATCTGAACCCCTCGCTGTGGGGGGCGGAGATCTGACCAGATCTGGCTGTGAATGACATGAGGAGCGGCCGGTGCGTAGGACTGTATTTGACTTGGACTGCTGACTGATAGTCGGGGGCCAGCCACGTGCCGTGTGTAACGAATGCGGCCGCCGGGCCGGCGCGTAGGCGTGCAGTGCAGGGCGCATACATCTGTGTGACAATGGCACCGCCGGCCTGCCTCACCGGTGCCAGTTGCTTGCGTTCTCGGCATTGTAACAAGGGCCCCTGCTTCTTACCAGGCACGCCTGGCGGATGCCTCGCACGCGGCGGCACGGACGCCGACCCCTGTAAAACCCACCTCACTGCACACTACGCAACGCGCGATGTTCCGCGCCGGCAGCGCTCCCGCTCGCTGCAATGATCAGCGCAGCGCCAACCCGACCACCGTCCGACCACGGTCCAAAACACAGCTGGGCGCCCACAAAGCCAAGCTGGTCGGAAGCACATTTTCTGATCTTCGGCTCTGCGAAGCTCGCCAGCTGTCAGGGGGGTTGAAACGCTGGCACCTGCGCGCCGCGCCGGCCTCGGCTCCAGCCGCCTGCATGCCCCTGAGCAGCGTGAGCTCGGCCACGGCGAGCTGTCCTGCGCGCCCGGCGAGACTATCGCACGGCGCCCGTTTCCAACCAAAGGCTGCGTACTGTCGTCCTGCGCAAGTGCGGGGCAAGCCTGAGAGGCGCGGATTCAAAGTTTGTTACAGATTGCGGGGACGATGGGCGCAACGACAAGTGGGGGCTGTATCAAGGTCACACGTTGGGGGGTTCTGGCGGCGCCGGGGCGGCGGCACAGGGGGCGGCGGGGGGAAGGGAAGGCACAAAAAGTTGCGCCCCTGTAACGGGGCTTATTGCTTCCCGCCCCCGCCGCCGCGGCCGCCGCCACCGGCCCGGCCTGCGCACCACGGGTGGCCCGGGGAACGCGCAAGAATAACGCTCTGCTGGGTGGTCAAAAGCAGTGCGGTCGGACGCGCTGGCCACACACGCAGGCACGCACAAACAATCACACACGCACACACGCACGCGCAGGCACACAACGCAAGGGATGGGCGCCGCGCGGCGCGGGCCCCGGGCGCGTCGCACGATATAGCTCTTGGTCGGCAGCGCCGCACACGGGGCGCAGCCGCGGCCGCCTGGACGGGCGTGTGGGGCGGCGGCACACTCCCTGTCGGCCCGCGTGGGCCGCGGGCGCTCTGCAAGCCTCGCCGTTTTTTGGAGGGGGGTTGGGCGCCGCGTGCGCCCTCCACGCACACCATGAAAAAGGGTACGGGGGCGGGGGCGGGAAAAGCCCGGTGTGTCGTATGTGCCAACGGCGGCAAAACGCGGCCGGCGGGCGACGCCGCCGGGGCCGCCGCGGCGCGCGCGGCTGCACCCGCCCGTACCCAGAGGCCGGCGCGTGGAGCGGCCGGCAGCAGGGCGAAGGCGAGCGCGGGCGCGCGGCTTGCGGCGGGGCCGCAGGAAAAGGGGGCCTCCTGCCGCGGGCGGGTGCCCCCCACGCACGCCCCACCCAGTGACGGAGAGGGTGGGCGAGAGGGCACCCCAAAACTGGCGGCGCCAGGCACCAGGCGCCGGCCGCGGCGGGGCAGTGCCGCGCCGCACCCGGCAGCTCTGCCAGGCGCCGCCTCCAAAAAGGGCGCGCCCGCCGGGGCGGGCAGGGGCGCGCGTGCGAGGGGAAGTCTGTGTGGTGGGGTTTGCGCGGGGGCGGCGGGTCGGCAAGTCCAGGGGATGTGTAGGGCCGTCACCCCCAGAGCCGATGCGTCGCTGTTCGTATCGGCTCGTGGGGCGGGCCGGGGCGGCCCTGTGTGGCCGCCCCTGCGCGGCGGCCTGGATTGGCGGCAACGCCGCGCGAGGGCCGCTCCGGTCGGCGCCGCGGGCCGCAGGGGCAACGGTCCTGGCGGCAGGTGGGGGCGGGGGTTGCACGCTGAGCGTGGGGCACAAAATACATATGAGATATGACTTATCGTATCGCGTGATAAAGCGAGGCAAAACCCGGCGCGCGCCCAGGCGCCCGGCGCGCCCGGAGCGCGCGGCGGCCGGCCTGCCGGGCCGCCCGCGGCGCCGCCGAGGCACGCAGCGGTCCGGGTCGCAGGCCGGGGGGGAGGAGGGGGGCGGCGCCCTCCCGAGGCAGCCTGGTGATGCAAGCTGCTGCGCCCGCGGCCGCGGGCTCGGATACGGGCGCCGCGGCCGCCGCGAGATCAGTTCAAATCAGGACGACTGGGAAAAGGGGGCTGCCCGTATGCGGGGCCACGAGCAAGGGGAGCGCAGAGCGCGCCGCCGCCGCTCGGCCCCCCGCGGGTGTGCGGCCGCTAGACACACGCATTCGCCGACAAGCCATCCTGGCGCACGTGCGGGCGGGGGGCGCCCGGCCGGGCGGGCTGGGGTTTGGGGGGGTCCGCCGTGGCGGACGCGCGCGCGCGGATCGTAAGCAATAAAGGAAAGGCGACGAAAGGGGGCCCCCCGAAGCTGGCGCGAAGGGTGGCAAGGAGGGCAGCAGGACCGCCTCCCTGCCTCTCGCATTTTCCGCTCAGGCGAGGGTGGTGCAGAGCGGGGCGGACAACAGCCCGTCAGCACAAGGGCCTCAGTCCCTGTGGCTTCGATGCGCCCGCGCCGCCGCCGCCCAGCAAAGGACCCCGCGCGCGCGCATGCGCGCGCCGCGCCGATCGCCGCGCTGCGGCAGGCGAGGGGCCCGGGGCGCAGGGGGCCGCGGCGCGCCGAATGGGGGCGGCGCCGCGCAGCCCCCGCGCCGCCGCGCTGCGCCTGGCGGGCTGTCGCTTGGTGATACAAAGAGAGAACGCACACGCCTGCGCAATATGGCCGGCCAATTGTCAAAGGAACCACTAGCCTAGCAAACAGACCGATGCGCCCGGGCCCGCCGGCCGGGCGCGCCCGCCGGCCGCCGGCCGCGGGCCGAATGTTGAGGGGGGGGGGAGAAAAGCGCAACGACGAGGCACCCAGAGGGCGGACGCCGCCGGCAAGGGCGCGGGCCATGCGCCTTTTGCCCCCGGCCGGGCGCGGCAGATTCGCTGGCGTCCACAGATAAGCGGCGCGCCTGGGGCCCTGCATCGAATCAGAAAAAGCAGGGCCCCTGGAGCGGGGTGGCGTGACAATAGCCGAGAAAGATAAGCTGCGGCGGCCACGGGGAACATGCAGCACGCGCAAACGCACGCGTCCCCCCCTCGGCCGCCGCCGCCCGCGCCGTATCTGACGGCCCGTGCGCCGCGGCCCCAGCTGAACCTGCGTGCAGGCCGGCCGGCGGCCGCGCGGAGCCGCCGCGGGCGCGGGCGCGTCACGTCGCGATGTAGTCGAGACCCTCCCCCTCTGCCGCGGCCTCCAGCGCTGCGCTCGCGCTGCTGAGCGGCAGCAGGCTGCTCCACAGGTCCAGGCTGGCCGTCGCGTCGCAGCAGTCCATGTGCGACATGACAACGGGGTCGACCCCGCTGCTCGCGCGGCTGCCGCGGCTGCCGCCGCTCGCGCTGCTCGCGCCGCCGACGCTGCCGCCGCTGACGGAGGCCGCGCCGCTGCCGCTCCCGCTGCCGCTCCCGCTGCCGACACGAGAGGAGGAGCTGCGGGGCGTCGCCGCCTCGCTGCCGCTGCCCGTGTCGCCCGCGGCGCACGCGGCCGGCGCCGGCTGCGCGCGTTGATGGTGCCCGCGCCGCGC